ACCTATATATGTGAGCCAGAAATATACACAAACACCTAAAATTATTCGTGAAAATATCTCACATTTATGCCTATTTCAGGGCTCGGGTAGTAGAGATGATATTAGTAGAATCGTACGTCAATATACAGATGATCCGAAAAAAGCATCCAAGATAATTGTTAAATATTTACGGGATCTAAATTTTGTAATCTTCAATTTTACCAAGGTCTCTAGCAGTTAGACTCGGTTGGGACCAGCATCCTGACCTTTCTAATGAGTAGGCTCGAATCCCGATTCATCGCCTAATAGCCTACTCTGCAATAGAGCGTGATTCATGATAATGAGATAATTATTTTTTCTGTTATTTATTAATATAGCAATATAATACATCTATCTGCCACTTCTTATATTATTGAGAAGCTGATCGATCCTGCCGATTTGAAGTTAGAGTGGTGGTTTTAACATCTTATTCGTTAATATTCTCAAATGAAATAGCTATCAGTATCCAGTCTGATTAAGGGTTGAAGTAGATATTGAAAAATAAATAAAGTCTATTTGTACCGAGGGGTTTTTTGTGTTGGATAAAATAGCCGTATATAAAAACTAAAGTAAAAAATGTTACTGACCCTCAGGATAATGAAATAAAGTCTAAAGTCTATGCTTCTATTTCTAAAAGTCGCTTTCGGAATCTAACCTGCAATTGACTCTTATCCAATTAACCGGAATGTAATATTCTTCATATTGTCTATCAATAATGGAACTATGTATCATAGGATCGTTTTTATATAATTCAATCCATTGATTAAATTATTCTCGAGTCTGAGGATTTTTTACTTTACATCTTGTTAAACCTAAAAACTTCTTATCATTAGAAGTACCATTGCATTCCAAGCTTGGGTTGCTAATGATTCGGGTCTATTCTTATAATTTCGATAAGCTATTTTTATAATTCTTACTTTTCCAAAATTAGTCTTTGGTTTATTGCATTTGTGATCCCAATGTTCCTACATCAGATCTTTAGGTTCGAGACAATCAACATACCTCTGTCTAGTAAAATGGATTATTTTTTTAGGATTCACATTATCGATTTTTATGAGTTTCCAGCAACCAAAACAAATAGTCATATTATTTTTATAAACCTTTGGTCTATAATAATCGAAATTGACAAATTTACCTTTACCAAATGACATAAATAAACAATATCGATGATATACACTAAATTTTCCGGCGGTTAATAAATTCTGTAATGGAATTCTTACTCGTATTTCCCATTGAACAGGCGTTTCGTTCTGTTTTATAATAGATAAGGTATCAAATAATCTCTCATTATCGAAGAGTTCATCGTATCTTTTTCCATCAAAAGCAAAATAGTTTCCAATATATGACATGACATATTTCATATCATATCCAGGCGAATGTTAAAACATATTTATTGATTATATCGTATTTAGGAGATTTAGACCTATTAGACTTATTAGTTTTGGTTTGATATACTGTACATAATTAAATCCGAATTCATTTTTAGTGTAGACTGGATTCTTTATACTGTGGAATAATATGGTTTATTTTTGTACAAATCTCAGGATCGAAGGGACAACCCTAAAGGGTTATAATAAAATAAACACATGATTTTGGGCGAACCAGTTCGCTGAAATTTTGCCAAGAAAAAATCTCGATCATATGTGATTGTATAATGTATGTATTAAAATTCTCGGCACTATGTTTCGGCTCACCGAAATATACATACAATTATATATGCGAATTCGACCCTCCATGGGTCAGCTTTAAAGATGCAAAAATAAAAATAAATTACGTATAGGATAACTATACACTATATACAATAAATTGCAATCAGTATTTGCATAAATGGCACATTTTTCCGATGCAAATAGCTACACCCAAATAAGATAAAATTTTACTATATTTTTTCAGTAAATGCCAAACTAATGTAAGGAAAAAAGATATACCGATAAAAACAAATAGACCAATTATATCTAATAATATACCTAAAAAAGAACATCACTCTATGGTTATCCTAAATATCGCATTACACATTAACTATAGTAATAAACATCAGCCAGGACTCATTAGATTTTGGTGATTTTTTTAGATTCTGGTGTCCCAAGTGTTGATCGACACCATGTTTTGAGCTCGACGTTTTCGGAGTCTTCTTTATCCTTACTTATTGCCGATAAGACTTTCTTCGAAGCTCGATCGTATGCTATCTAGAGATGTTTTGAAGTCAATGCATACGGAATCGATCTTAATTGATGAAATTCAGTAGTTATACCTGAAATGTCCGAAGAATATTTAATCCGTTTAAAAACATGCTACAGATCTCAAAGGACCTTGGAAGTTCTATATTACCCGTATCTACCATTATGTATACACCAGGTGCGATCAAGGTCATGAAATATCCGGTCCATTTTGTTACTGTGGTAATGAATTATACTGAATAATATTAATTAAACCAAATTTCTTGGAGAACAGACCAGCTTACCAATAGATTGCCATGCAAATACAATAGAATTGACCCCGGTTTTCTGCAGAATATTATCTAAAGAACCCTTCATAAAAATTTCCAAACGAATGAGATCAGTTAAGTTCTTCTTTTCCGTATTATTTTTACTTTCACCTGTTACCTCTCCATACATCATCTCATAGGCAAACCATCCTGTTTATGTTAAAGGAAAAATTTTGAAACTCTGGTTTATGTTTTTTCATGAAAAAAAAAAATTATTTCTAATATCATTATGTAGAACATTTCCAATCATGTCCGGTTGCTTAGCACGAGAAGGGTCATTATTAGCGAGCTTCCGAACCTTGGCACTACTACTGGATGTATTTGGCCATATCGTGGGGTAAACAGAAACATCGTGAAAGAAAATGTGCAACACAGGGCTGATTATGTTTGCTATTAATGTTCCTTCACTAATTTTTTCTTTCAATAAATGTATTGGAATATTACTAGCTCTGCAAAATAGTTAAAGAAAACCTTAGCAAGTACCACAGACATTTCATGAAAATCAGGTTAAAAGTAAATATCGTATTTACAATTGTTGAAATAATAATTACATCTTCTGAAAAAGTTCAAGCTCTTCTGGTGTATTGAATGTTTTTGAATAAGACTCTATTATCGATTTCCGAAGCCTACTTAATCCACCATCTTCGTCGTCAAGAGCAATCTAAAGTGAAATTATTAGCAAAGAGAATAATGAAAGTCACGAGAAAACATCGTACCTCAACGTATTCTTGAAGGATCGACTTAATATCTTTAGATAATTTTTCTTTCCCAAGAATCTTTGACCTGGTATCCTTTCTTAGATCCTCAAATGTATTTCTGGAAAACTTTTTTATTTGCATGTTGGAGTAATCATCTGTTTGTAGTAAGAGAACGTGCGATAGACTCCTAAAGTTTCAAAGAATAAATATCGTTTACTAACATTTAATCTACTAAAAAAATCCTGTTTAGAATTCTGCTTACAAGATTTCACGATAATTTTCTGTAACAGACAAACCAGACTCTTGCGCCATTCAGATCGATATGATTTAAACAACAATGAAATATTCTTCGCTTTGAAAATGAACTATAAAAATTGCTATTGTTTGAGAAATCATACCCTAAGTCAATTTAAGGAAAAAACACTTACAGGTTTGCCCGCTTGTTCGATAAAGTCATCAAACCCTATTATTTCTGTGTTTAGTGCTAATTCACCTTCACTCTCCTCATCACTCTCCTCGTTACTATCACCACTCTCATCATGTTCATCACTCTTGTACTTTGTAAATAAAAGACCAGTCAGTTTGAGTCAACGAAAATATATATATAAAAACAAATTTATATTTATGGCACCGACACTATCATCATCAGTCTTTGCGAGTACCCGTCTCTTTGATCTTGATTCATCCTCCAGATTAACCTCCAATGAATTTGTTATTGGGCAAGGCGTAGTGTACCCATCTCGTTCTTTCCTCTTTAATATTCTCATTAATTTATCCTAAATTATATACCGAATAAATCCATAAATAATTCAACAAGATAAAGAAAACACGTGTCAATTACCTCACCATCTCGGGATGGGTACAAACTACAGAGATCTTGGTGTTGAATATTGGTAACATGTTGCTGACTCTGGTTCGTTGCCTTAAACATGTGCAGGATTCCATCAGCCTTGTTGGAGTCATGTTGATAATTAGGATCACCGCGTTGACACTGAAACTAAAAAACACATCACACGCACTTACTCTTGTGATATTTATTCGATCTTCGTACAATTTTTTCTCGATCGATACCCAAAAAGTTTCGACACTTTCAGAAGACTTCTCAATCTTTTCTTGTCAGAGAAAACGGACATTAGTATAAGATTTTTTTGAAATTACCATATAACCCATATAACCAAAAAATAAAAGGCTAAGATGGACCACAACACAGCACACAGCCTGACAACCAGTTAGGACGCACCAATCCAGTTGCTTTATGGCATTATCATGTAGCATATTCAAGAACGCCCGAGGAAAGACGCACTCCACTATCACCCGCCAAAGCGCATTCAGCTGGCTACTCGGGATTTGTCAATACGTCACGTAATTGTCTCTGGACCGGAACGTATTCTAGCTCTTGAACCCATCCGCCTCGACCAGTAATAACATAACATATACTTAACATCGAAACCTTGAATACACTCTTGAGCTTGCTTGTGATTTTTGGGAAACGAGTCCAAAGCTTTACTATACAACATATGTTCCCTATTTTTTTCATATGTAAAATCGTCGAAACTCTTTCTATACTGAAGAAATTTAAGTATGGACCAAGTTGAATTATTTTCGAAGAAATCTTTAATTGCTTGTGGTTCGTTCGACGTTTTCGACATTGTTGACTTTAAGGTTAGGTAATACATTATTGGAAGAAGTGCGACAAGTTACGCAAATCACATGGAAATAAGTCACTATTGTAGATTATTCTGTAAGGTTTTGACAAGACTTAACTTTATTTCAAATTTAACTCTTCTTGTCAAAATCTTCTTAAGATTTCTATTTTTTAAGTTCTTTTTTTTTATTAATAGCTCTCTTTTTATTGGAAAAGTAGTTTTTAGACTTGAAAAATATTGAGATCTTTTGGTTTTGCAAATCTCCTATACTTATTTCCATTTAATTATTTTTTCTTATTTTATATTTCAAATTCTCTTTTAGACTTAATTGCAAACCCTTTTTTATATTTTTAGCATTCATCTTTTTTTTTTTTTTTTTTTTTTTTTCCATTTTTCTTAACATTTCAGATTTATTTTTTTTTAAATAAGATTATTTCTTTTTAAATTAACATAAAAA